GAAATACTTTTGTTAGACGTTGTAAGTTAAATTTTCATTTTCCTGCAATTAAAAACTGAATGCTTAGATTCTTGTTAAAGAATATTAAATATGGAGAAGCTTTCTTGGCAACAGGTCGTTACTTAAAAAAAAACATTGGCATATGTATGCTTGATATACATTTTTGTTCTTTGGGATCTTTGAGAATCATCTAAAAATCTATGAGAAATTTGGATTTTCTTCCTTTTCTCGTATTCTTTGGAGATGCAAAATACTTTAAGTTATTTTATCATAGTTTTTTTCTCTCAAAAACGCTAACTTTGCCCTACTAGGAGTCTATATTTGGAGCATGTGCTCGTGCTGTCATATACTGCCAGCACAATGCCTGCCCCAGCTCTGGCCCTTGGAAATGCCAAAGCAAACAGAGAAGGGCCATTGTCATGGTCACCTAATCCGGCTGGCGAAATGGCCCGCCTTGAGCCGACCTCGATCCGGATTTGGGGGGTTGGGCACAGCCGCCGAGAGTCCTTGGCCAGGAATAATAATTTCAAATGCAAAAAAAACCCGGCCAGGACCAGTGGTAAACCGAGGAGGAAGCACACGAAGGAGCAGATAAATGACTACCAGCTGTGTGTTACAAATGGGCAGAGGGACGAGATACTGCTGCACATGCCACAGCGGAGCTGGTGAGGCTGCCCCTTTGGTCGCTGATGATGCACAGATGATTCCTGTTCATTTAATTTTCATTTTTGTGCCAGAAGTAAATGGGTGAAGCCTGAAGCAGCCATGGAAAGGATGAGAAGGATGCTCCGAAGAAGGGCTGGAGAGGGTGAGGCGGATCCTGTGGAGCGCCTCCATCGTCTCGACTCTGTCGACTGTCAGTCAGGGGTGCCTCAAAACTTTTGCCTGCCACGCACAATTTTCCACTTTCAACTTTTCCAACGAAATTGCGAATGCGGTGGCTGGCGGGGTGGCGGGGTGGTGGGGTGGCTGTGCGTGCGAGTGAGGGGGTGGTTGCTTCAAGCGGCAGTGGGTGGGTGGTCTGAGCTTTATGCTTGGCTGATGTTGCGATAAGCAGCCAGCGTCGCTGCTGCTGCTGCTTTTGTTGTTGTTGCCGCAGCCGCAACGCTGCACACGCCACATAGAACTTGTGGCCAGGGGCCGGGGGGGTGTTGTACTGGGTGGGTGGCGCCTATGCCCTGGGGCAGGGTTGAAACATAGTCGGCTGCTTCTGCTGCTGTTTCGGCTGCTGCTGTTGTTGTAGTTGGCGCCAGTTTCCCATGTAAAAGCTGCTGAAAAGTGTAACGCAGTCGAGGCTCGGCAGAGTTTTCCCGGCATGGTGGATGCGGTTGAGGGTGAGGAAGGGGTCGGTAGGATGGTGGCAGTCGGTTGGCGGGGGTGGGCGGCTGCTGCTGCCACGTCGCCTACGCGGCATAGTTTTCACTTTCCTTACGCACACATTACCCAGAGAAGGATACCCGGAGTTTCCGATGAAGTTGCTATCGAAATGATATTATCGAAATAAATCGAAGTTATAAAACTGTAGAAACACAGATAGAAAATAGTTGTTGAAATAAATTAATTAACTTTTTACACTAATCTCTATCGGAAATCGTTTAAAGGATTATTTGTAGTCTTTTAGTTTTAAAAACTTTTGCTAGGATCGATTATTTATTGATCAAATTTACTATCGATTTTAACATAAGAATTCCATGTTCCTTGAAAGAGCATTCCACTGTCGCTCCACAAAAATTACATTTATCTTGCAGCTGTTTTTGTTTTTGCCGAAAAATTCACGCACTTTTCCGGGCTTTCCCCCTTTTTACCCACCGCCTGATTGTGTGAGTGCGTGTGGCTGTCAGTGTGTGTGTGTGTGTGTGTGTGTGTGTGTGTGTGGGTGTTTGTATGCCAAGCAAGTACATAGAGATAGAGGCGCCGTTATATGCTCAGATTTCCTTCCGCTGGAAATAGACGACGAGTAACCACGACCAGAACCAGGACCAGAACGCTTTCGCTTTCACTTGCCACCTACTTGGGCGCAGTGCGTGGCAGACATGGCGGGTGTGGTGGGGTTGGGGGGGTGGCAGCAAACTTTCGACATCAAAAAGAACTACTTTCGATAATCACAGGGCTGGCGCCAAAGGAATTACATTTTTGCCAGCCTCCCGGCTCCCGGCTCCCGACTGCGGGTGGGAATTTTCTTCTTGCCTGCTTTTTACTGCCCCATGCCCCTTCACTTCAAGCGCTTTTTTCCGGCTTTAAAGTTTGGCCAAATTTCGGCTTCACATCTCCTACTTTTATGCGCATAACAAATTCGCCTTTATACTGCCCCAAAAAGTTTCGCTACAGCTATTTTTTATGCAATATTTTATTGGCATTTTATGCGCTCGTGGCTCCTGATGAGATCAGCGGAGGGAAAGCGTGGAAAGCGGAGTCTAACTTACGTCCAACGATTTGTAAATCGAGAGAAATATTTCAGGAAATTCGCTTATTAATTAAGCTAAGCGAAACCACCCCAAACAGCCTCCCAAGCCCAACATCAAACAGAATCGAATCAATGACATCATTGCCGCCGCCACCGCTGTGGAAATGGGAAATGCAATGGGAAAATTTTGTAAATGTTGGCGGTGGCTGTAGTTGGAGGCTGCCTCAGGGATGGGTGCCCTTTTTATGGTGGTGCGGAGCACAACCGGTTTTGCTATGGAAACCCCTTTTGTCCAGGAAAAGCTAAGCCAATGCAGTTGCTAATTTGAAAGAAAAGGAGTTTTCATCTAACCACGGGGGGGTTGTTCCTCAACCCAGCATCCTCACCTTGCGACAATCCGATAATGTGGTGGTTGAAAGGGTTGGCACAGGTAGATTTATATATGTATATTATATATTATATGCAGTAGTTTATACATACTAATAGCTTATGAGATTTTCCACACCTATTCCTTATTCGTAGACCCAGTATATCAACTCATTTAAAACAATATACACAACAGAAACAACATTTTCAAAATTCAAATTCAAATGCCTCCGCAGTTACTCAACCGTGGACTACTCTGAACGCAAGACTGTTTGCCAGCTGACAAAAGCTGGCTAGTATGAAACAGATGAGGGAAATTTGCGGAAGAGACTTACTTGACCAGCTCATTTCGTACACGTTTTCGTTTTGGCCGTTTTTGTTAGAACATTTATATGTAAACAATCCAATGAAAAAGAGTTCTCAAAACTAGCCAAATCTGAACAAAATTTATTGATCAATTGGACAAAATAATTTGTTTAGGGCTGGGAGGGACAACTAGCTAGTAATATTAAACTGAATATCAAAATCATGGCATATGATTTCAATCAAATAGAACGTTAGCCCATTGTCGCCCAGGGGGGTATTTAGCGCACAAAAATACTGCGGGAAAATTTTTCCGCAGAGGTTTTTCTTCTTTTTCCTCTTTGTTGAAAAACTTTCTTCTTCCTCTTCCTTTTTGCGGAAAATATGTCTTCTTCTTCTGTTTTGCGGATTTTTGTTTTAGATCTGCCAGATCGGTTCAAAGCGAATCGGTATTGAAACGGGTCACAAAATATCATGGTGTGGCACCCCCTAGCAACTACGAATTGCACGAGTCTGGCATCGCCATCAACAGCTACGTCACATTCGTTTTATGTTGTTTATGCTTGAACCTTATTATGTAAACAATCCAATAAAAAAAGCGATCTAAAAACTAGCCAGTCTTGTAGAAAATTGATGTATCTATCGGATTAAATTATTTGTTTAGGGCTGAGAGCCCCAGCTAGCTAGTAATATTAAGCCGAATATCTAAATCGAGGAATATCAACTTTGAATGTTTTGAAAAAAACAATCGATACTATCGTGATAGTATCGAGCTCAAGTAATTATTAATTATTCTTTTTTTTTTTTGTTGATATTTACTAGTTATTTACTAACCTGATTAAATAGAGCGGGGCTAAGCTATTTTTTTCTCGGTTTCTGAGGTTCCAGTCCCACTCGACAAAACAAATCAAGTGAAATATTTATTTTTCCATATATGTATGTACATTTGAAAATGACCGCCAATCTCATTTAGCTCACAAAAATATCGATATTATTCGCTCCCAAATCGTGGTGGTTTTTCAAAATTCGCTCTCAATTCGTGGTGGGTTTTCAAATTTGGTCTCTTTTCAGTGGTGAAGAGAGCGTTTTTGTGGTGACTTTCCCCTCATTTTCGTGGTGTGAGAAACATGTTCTTAACGGGAACGCGTATGGAATGAAGATTCATTGTTGCGTCATTCCATACGCGTTCCCGTATGATACATTTGATTTGTATGGGAAAAATTTCAGCAACATGGGGAAATGAAGTAGCAGCATTGTTGTGCAACTTTGGCACGGAATGAGCAACAATCTGCATACCTTGGGAAAATAGATATTATGGACTTGAGATATTGTTTGTAATTTCAGGCTCCAAGTAATGCAGAAACTACTCAGTCTCTTATTAAAAGACATCAACGAAATTTTGTAGCTCATGGGTACCAATAATAGGTATCAGAACCGGGATAAATGTATATATAAAACACAAAACATATGCATAAAAAATAACTCAATCTTACGAAAATTCAATATTAATGTTTCAAAGCAGCCTGAAACAACAAATTTAACATCAATTAAAGGAAATAAGGTATACCAAAGCCCATATGCATAGAAGAAACTTGGTTGACCAGCAACATGTGGCGTCACATTTAGTCAACATTTACGTTCTATGCTTTGGCCGTTTTTGTTTGAACCTTAATATGTAAATAATCCAATAAAAAGGACTTCTGAAAACTTGCCAATCTTGTACACAATTTTTTGATGAATTTGACTAAATTATTTTTTTAGGGCTATGTGGGTAAACTATCTAGTAATATTAAACCGAATATCAAAATCGAGGAATATCGAACGCATATTGTCGTGCAAGTCAGTATATTTACGGTATATTTTGAAAATGAGATAGTATATTTTGGTATATTCCCTAGGGTCAGGCGCCATACTTCTTCGGTAAGTCCGCGGGCACACTGCAGATCGAAAATTTCATGAAACAACAAAGTGCTGTCGATTTTTTTCGCTGCCGCCGAATAAAAAAAAAGGAAATTAAAGTGCTTGTGCAGTGCAAGTGTGAGTACCCGTGCCACGAAAATTTGTATGATAATATTTCGCGCTCATTGACAGAGTAAAACACATACACATACGTGTGCACTTGATGGTCGCAGCACACGCACACAGAGTCGACGTAGTAGTAGTAGAAAGTGCAGCAGCAGAAAATGTTGAAAAACATTTTAAGTAAATCGAGGCAGGTGTGGAGTCCACTGGCACGTGGTCTGTCGAAGACCAGCACTAAGAGCAATGTAGCCGCGGAGTCCGTAGTCGCTGCCAACACCACAAAACCGGCGGCACTGGTATTGCCTCAAGATTATGCCGACTATGCGCCCCTAAACAGGAATGCCACCCGCCAGGCGTGGATCGAGAACAGCGATGCAGTGGCCGAGCGCAAGGTGGGTCTGATTGAGCTCCATCCGGATGTGTTTGCCGCACAGCCGCGCGTGGATGTTATTCAGGAGAACATCGAATGGCAGCGAAAATATCGTTATGTAAGTTTGGCCCATGCCAAGACACGGGCGGAGGTGCGCGGCGGCGGAAGGAAGCCCTGGCCCCAAAAGGGCATGGGCCGTGCTCGACATGGATCCATACGTTCGCCTTTGTTCAAAGGCGGCGGCGTCATCCATGGACCCCGTTCGCCGACCACACATTTCTACATGCTGCCGTTCTACAAGCGCGTGATGGGACTGACCTCAACGTTGAGCGTGAAGCTGGCTCAGGATGACCTGCACATCATTGAGAATGTGGACATACCCACCAAAGATGCGCAGTTCATCAAAGATCTGATAGCGGAGCGCAATTGGGGGCCATCGGTGCTGATTGTGGACAAGTGAGTGGAGGAAACGGCACCCGAGAAATATTTGAACTAATTGCCTTGATTTTAGAGATTTCATGTTCCCCGAAAACATCTGCTATGCCACCGACGACCTGGGCTATGTGAATCTGATGCCCGCGTTTGGTCTGAATGTCTACTCAATGCTGAAGCACGATACCTTAGTCCTCACGGTGGATGCCGTCAAGCATTTGGAGCAGCGTCTGCTCTATCAACTGCATCGCAATGATGCCACCAGCAAGGGCGGCAAATTCAAGCTAGATCAAGTGTAAACGTTATAATTTAGTCGTTTTTATTTGTAATGAAACTATTTTTGATGAAAGAAGATGCATTTTTAATCGCGATCTATTGTTGTTGAGCTTGCTGGATGGCGGCACTCAATGGAGATCCCCGTGTGGCCGTGACTAGCGGATCTTGGTCCTTCTCCGAAACGAGGATTTCACAGGCTCCCTGCAAGAGTTCACCAAGTTTCGGTGCAAACACGCGCAGGAATCCACGCTCAGAGTTGGTATGATTACAGAGCAGCACGGTGGTGCCATTGTGATTGAAGTCCAGCACTTCGTGATGCGACATTTCGCCCGTGATGATGGTATCGGCCTGGATGCCACGCAGAAACGAACCACCCGAACCCGCACAGATGCCCACTGTGCGCACAACAGTCTTTGAATCATGTCCCACGGCCAGGGCCACGTGCACATTGTTATTGATGTGACGCTGCAGGGCCTCAACCAGCTGAGAAATTTCCATTTTCGTCTGGATCAGCCTCCCCGAGCCTGTGCCGGGCTCTGCACCCATTTCTGGCATCAACGGCCGAATGCTTTGAATGGCCACGGCTTGGGCCAGCCAATCGTTGACGCCACCGCACTTCTTATCCCACGCAGTGTGTGGCGAATACAAGGCAATGGAGTTGGCCAAACAGGCAGCCACCACACGCTCCTTCCAGTTCGACTTGGTGATTCTTGTCAGGGGCTTGAAGATTGGCGGATGGTAGCTTATGATCATATCCACCTGCTTCTCCACGGCCTCCTTCATTACAGGCTCGGTGAGATCGTTGGTCAGGAGTATCCGTTTCACATCCCTCTCCTTGTGCGGTTCGATCAAAAGTCCCACGTTATCCCATTTTTCGGCCAGCGAGATCGGAGCAAAGGCTTCCAGTTCCTTGACAACTGCTGCTAGCTTGCGACCACTGTAGCTGCTCATTTTTCTTAAGGTAGTAATGGCACCGGGTAACATATATGACTATGAATTTTGTTTAGAATTAAAATAACAATTACTATTTCTGACAGGTGTTATGTAGTTGATATGTAGCTACTGTGTATACTACACAAGGTATATTTTGGGCTCGTACTATAACGCAAAAATGAGTCGAAGAGCTCATGGAAAGGTACGGACAACAGGCAAAGACGGCCAAGCAAAATTACAACGCTCGTACAAACCTCACCTCACCGTGTATGCCAGGGATTTTATAAACTTCATGGTATGTTGGGCAAAAGGGTGGTTCTACCTGGCACACTTTGGATTTTGCAAACAGTTTCGCTTGATGTCCATACCCTTTTTTATCTTTCCGGGATTGGAACACGCTCAAAACAAAACAAAACAGACAACAGGGCGGATGCAAAAATACGAATCGCGGTCGCATGCAGGAAACATTTCTGCACAATTTGTTCAACGAGACACTAATAATCACGTTATTTGTATAAAACGCGGCTAAGTAGCAATATTTTTGCAGTTCACTTCTAAAATCCAAGCGAAACGTAGCCAAATCGTGTGAAAATCATAGTGGAACAGCAATTAAGCTGCAAGGTAGTGGCCGAAATATGTACACATTGTGGAATATATGAAAGAAAATTAATGTTTTCAAGCTGCCATTTTGAAAAGAAATCCCTGAGAATGTGTGCAAATGAAAATGAAAAACAAAAAGAATAGGATATCAAAAGAGGTGGAAGATAAAGAGAGAGGCTGTGCGGAGATAATATATCTCCAGAAGTGTCCGTGTGTGAGTGCGTGTGAAACAAAAGCAGATGGAATGGCGCAAAATGGAAACATAAATATATATGTACGGTCGGAATGGAATAGTTCCCCAATGAATCGTTCACTTTTTTGTTGTTCTTTTTTGTTGTCAGCCATACACATGTATAATTTATAAATTGCTTTAATCTACAAATTGCTGTTATTGCGTTTTCACTTGCGCCCCCCATCTACGTTTGTTTCACTCGCACCCATAGCACATTAAAGCTCGAAAGCGCAGTTACGTGAGCTTGCGAGAGTGTCAACTTTTGCCAGTGTGTGTGTGTGTGTGTGCGAGTGTGTGGCAGAGAGAGACTAAAGAGAGAGCTTGCGATTAAAACTGAGCTCAAAAGCAACGTTCAACTTAGTACACTTCCACAACTCAAACGCAAACTAATTATTTTTGCAGAAGAACTAAACAACAAGAAACCCCCAGCTAAACAAACTTTTAATAAAACGACAGTGGAGTGCCGGATAGTGAAACATTCAGGAAACAACGGGCAAAGCAACAAGTACAGGTACATACTCGCGCCGCGCAAAATAGAAACCGCAGAACCAAAACCCAAACTAGAACCGCAACGAGAGCAGAGCCGAGCCGAGCAGCGCTGAAAGCAAAGGCAAAGAAAATTAAGTAAAGCAAAGCCCTAGAAAGCTCGAAAATGTGGAACCAAACAACAGGGGCAGCAAAAGCAACAGCCGCAGCAGCAACAAGTGATACTAGCAAGGAGGAGGCCAGTGCAGAGGAGTGTGGATGTGCTGGCGCTGCTTCCAGTGTTGAGCAGCGTAACGCTAACAAACCCAACTCATTTGATAACAGTAAACATCAAAAATCCTCATTTGGCGGCAAAATCAACGAGAAGTCGGAACAAAGGGGCGACAACGACAACGACAACGCCATTAACAAGCAAAAAGAATTTGCAGCACAAAGCGAAACAAGTGATTCTGGTTTTATATCTGGACCGCAATCATCGCAGATCTTTAGCGAGGAGATTATCAGCGAGCACGACACCGACACCCAGTCCCAGCCGAAGCCCGCCCCTGCGGTTGAGCCGCCACCACCGCAGCAAACCAGTCACGCTCCCGATCAGAAGCAAATCTCTACCGTGGTCCTTGATTCGGGCATCATTGACGAGGACGAAACCGAGGAGGAGGACTACGACGAACAGCAGCAACAGAATCCAACATCCTCCCAGGCTGGCATCAAGCAACAGCCGGCCGCCACTGAACAAATGCGCCTCAAACACAACACAGACGCCGGCATACCACAATGGACAGTCCAAAGCAATCTGGCTGGACGTGGCGAGGTCCTCAACAATCTGGGCACCAGCAGCAGCCACAGCCATATCAGCACATCCATTTCGGGACGCAGCAAAGCAGCCCCAGCCACCAGCAGTGATAATAAACCCACAAATGCGGCAGCCTCCGCCTCTGTCTCTGGATCGGCTAATCTGAATAATAGCAGCATCAATATCATAAACGCCTGGGAGCAGTTCTATCAGCAGAATGACGACGGCGACACGTAAGTATTTCCGTTTGAGAATTTCCCGAAAAAACACGGATCGATGCGTCTTGACCACCAACTGTGGGGGGAGAGTTTCATGAATCACATTAAAGACAATGAGAGACACTGGGACTGGGACTGGGACTGGGGAGAAACGCGACTTCAAACGCGTACTGACACATGTGTGTGACTGATTCGGGGGTTTTCCTGGTATGTGGGCAGGTATCATCATCATCCACAACAACAAAAACAACAACAACTGCAAAACAGGTTTTTGGGCAAGTGTTTCTTTCCTTGCCTTTTTCTGGGTTCTTACACACACACACGAGACATGACCAGACAACAAGTGTTCGACTGAAAGCCAGAAAGAAAGGACGGAAGGAAACAAAAGGGAGGGCAGACTATAGGTAGAGAAAGGCAAAGAGAGGTAAATAAACTCTGTCTGATCGCTTTTCTTCTTCTGTTTTCTTCAGGCCTCTGCATTTGGCTTGCATATCGGGCTATGTGGATGTGGTGGCCGCCCTCATACGCATGGCACCGCATCCATGCCTGCTCAACATCCAAAACGATGTGGCACAGACCCCACTGCATTTGGCTGCCCTTACAGCCCAACCGAATATCATGAGGATGCTGCTGCTGGCTGGAGCTGAGGTAAATATCAGTCTACTACAATTTTTTGTGTGTGGAATTTACTGATTAATCAGTGAGGAAATACCAATCTTTTGATATTCCAATGATACAGCAATTAAAGACAGACCAAAGATCTATAATTTAAACAATTCTTATAATATCCTTACACAGCCCACAGTTCGTGATCGTCATGGCAATACGGCGCTGCATTTGTCCTGCATTGCCGGTGAGAAGCAATGTGTTCGTGCCTTGACGGAGAAGTTTGGTGCCACGGAGATCCATGAGGCGCATCGCCAGTACGGACATCGTTCGAATGACAAGGCTGTTAGCTCCCTCAGCTATGCCCGTCTACCCGCCGATCTGGAGATACGCAACTACGATGGTAAGTGCCCCACTGCTTGTCCCTACATATACATTCACATTTCTATATAGTAAATGGTTTATTTTGGGGCATATTTTCATGAAAAATTTGTATGAATCTGTGCCAAAAATATTGGTATACATATATTCCTATATGTACATATATACCTAGTATATTCTGTCCCGACATCGGCTAGCCACAGTGCGAGACATTGTCTGTCGTCTGTTCATATTATAGAATATATCCTATACCATGGGGAATGTGTATTTGCGTACATAAATACATACATACATCCATATATCTGGTTATAGCCTTTGAGCAGATGCCAAAAATACATTGTGGCCTCCTCCGCCTGCACATTTTCCACGCTTTTCCATCGTTAAAACCTCGCCACTTCCCCTCCACCTGCTTTTGGCCTTTTTTCGTTATTGATTAACGAAAATAAACGAAAAGCAAACATTTCCCAGGTTTTCAGACGTCAGCAAAAAATTACTATAAAAGCAAATTAAACAAGAAAAACGAAAAGAAGGAAAAACAAAGAGATTTTTCTCTTATATAAGAAATTATTTTTCAAAAGTAAATTCGTTTACTTCCATCAATTAGGCGTATCCAAAATGGTTATTTATTGAAATACTTTAAGTTTCTCAAGATTTCTGGACTTCATTTCGCATGCATTTTGCGTCAAGGAAATAATTTTGCAGGCGTGGCGGCCCATCATTAACATTTGTTTGGTTTCCTTATTTGATTTTGAACAGAAATCGAATTATTGATTTGCATGTGGTGGCAATATGTGTGGGAGGCCTGAGAATGGTTATCCACATATTTATTTTATAGAAAACCATTGATAAATCTCAGAGCAAAATGGCACTGGAATATCAAAAGCCAAGAAAAATATTTTTAATGATTTTTGATAGATAGCATTTTTCTCGTTGCTCCCTAATTTGATTCTTCGACGCACAAGCGAAAAGAGTCAAAGAGAATACCGTATAATGCAGAATCCCTAGTAGGGATTAAAAAATTAGTTTACACTCAATTTGGGTTGCTATTTTTAGCTAAAACCAAACGAAGAAAAGTAAAAGTCTTACCACAAAAAAAAAAAGGTTAATAAACTTGTGTCAGAAGGTACTATTGCAATATCAAAGTTATTTGCTTTTAACCTTTCGTTTGTTTAATCGATTTCTCTGCACGGAGCCCCCACTTACATTTTTTTGTTGCTATAACCTTGCCCAAAAATAAAACCCAACAAAAAGAGTGCCAAATGAGTTCGAGTTCGTGAGTGGCAAACATTTTGGTGAACAAACATTTGTTATATGTATTTTTGTGGTTGCTGGTCAGCCTTAAGCCAGCAGCAACCGGTTTTTTGGGAGCACCAAAAACAGCTGCTCTTCATATGCATGTACATACATATACATATGTATATGTATATGTATATGTATATGTATGTCTATTTTTGCCATATATACATATAACCATTTCGAAGACTGAATATAATGTGTATTTTGGCTAGCCAACAGCAGGCAGGCAGACATAGCCGACAAAAACTATTAAAAACGAAGAGAGAGAGACGACTCCGAGACGAGCAGACGCTGCCTGAGTATTTCGCTTTTGAAATTTCTGGGTTTTCCCGATCACCAGTCTACACACAAAACTTTTTGATTTGAAAGCAATTCAAAATATTCGGAACAGAGGCAGAGTTCTGTAAGCAGATTGCTTAAACAAATGTACAAACGGATGGGGCAGGCCTTCCTCCCTCCCTCCCAAGCCAATTGACGTCAGTCTTTAGGGAATACACACAGGAAAAACAAAACTACCA